CTCCCTGGCTTGCTTTCATCAATTTCATCAATTAGACCTTCCTGGTCAGTTAATTCTTCCAGGAAAGGACGCTTACTGGGGATGACTTGTGATTGATGCTTTGCTGTCCTGGGATGTGACAGAGCTGCCACAATCATGAAAATTATCTTAAAACAAAAGAGAAGGATAGCAGCCCCCTGCTACATTTGTTGAATCAGCACTAAGCACTTGTAAGAAAGATAGGTAAGAGCTGCAATGTATACATCCTATCCTATAAAACTGCTGTTGGACTAACTTCACATTGACTGTAAAATGATTAATTGCACTTACCTGTGAGAGCTTTGCATACCTTACTCTAGTTAATGAATGATTCCTCATGACCCCTGGGATATGATTGTCCTTTTTGAATTTGGCCAAGCCTGCTGTTACAAAAAATATCTTGGGGTCCCCGAGGTCCTCAGCTGCTCTGGTTTTAGTGGCTGTTTGCACAATGTTGGAGCTGGCATATCTGTCTGGTGGCAGACAGTGACCATGCACAGAGGTGCGTGACACTGTCTGTAGTATAGCCTTAGTATTTTACAAGTGATCAGACCTAGAAGAACATCACTGTGCTAGTCAAAGAAACGAGCCTCTCAAGTTTTCATAGATGTGTATGGTATTAATGCGTTTCCCTTAATCCCTTGTTTACAAAGTTAATTTCACTACTTGAAAAGTTTCTAGTCTCTTAAACCATGTCAAAACACAAATATGAACATGCTTTCAACAGCAGAACTAGCGACTCAGTCCATTCTGTCACTGAAAGGGAAAAGCATATGTGAAAATCAGAAATGGTGACATGAGATTAGAAGGTTTACAGTATTTCCTGAACTTTTGGTATGTGAATTGCGTTGGAGGTCTCAGCAACGTTTGGGACAAACCTTAATTTGTGCAAACTACTTTGCTAATCCCCAGTCTAGACACTCACATTTCCCGTGCCTATTCATCTTCATTTCTGCTTTCATCCAGCAAAGTTTTTTGGTCTGTCACAGAACATCAGTCAGAAGGAACCAGGCTCTTCTGCTCCCGTAACTCCCACTTGTTCTAGCCTCAAGCACGGGATACAGGGTGTGTGGCTATATAAAGAACTCACAGGTATGAACTGTCCTGTTGATGTGGTTAATTCTGCACTCAGCTGTACAGACTGTGCCTTTAATATACCCAGAGCTCATATGTGCTTATATTGACTTCCTCCTGAAGTGAGAGGTGTTAATGTGAAGGGAGAGGAAAGAGGGGGTGGATGTCAGTCCGCCCTCCTCAGAGGGTTTGGCAGGGGACTGACTACTATTTCACAGAGAACCTGTGCTGCTCTTGTTAAGTGTGTTTTCAATTAACAGTGAAAAAATGTCCTGTACTCAAACGTCTATATTCTGGGAAAAGAATCTCATAAAGCAAGTCAGTCCTTAAAGATAAGCTTTATATTTGCTTTGCCGGGCTCGTTCCTAGCTGTCTGGGCTCTACTCAGGATGGTGTTTGCTCTCTTCTCTTTATTGGGCTTTGCTGTTGTGTGCTTTGTAATGAGCTGTAGTATCTAGGGCTTTTCTGAGGAGCTTGCTGTTTTTTCCCTGTTTCATATTAATTAGCACAGACCTGATGAACTGTAGAGGTCTACAGGGCCTAGCTGACTTGTATTTCTTGTTTTCAGAGTTTGTTTTTTTTTCCATTTGTTGAGATAATTTTGAATTCTAATCCTGTTCCCCAATATGTCTAACACTTTTGCTGGATTTTCCATGTATTTGATGTCTCAATATCCAAGGTGCTTATGAAAATACTGAATAGCACTGGATCCAGAACAAACCCCTAAAACCTGCTCTCACCATGGTCCCTCTGCTCTGACAGTGGCTTTCCAACCAGTTTCACCCATTCTGCATTAGTTTAATCTAGACTATTATTTCTCTAGCTTGCTAATGACAACATCTTCCCACCCCCTATCAAAAACCTTACCGAAGAAGTAATGATGTACCGCTGCTTCTCCATGCCCTTAAGACTGATTACTCCATCACAGGAGACAATTAGGTTGGTCTGACATGATTTGGTCTTGACAAAACTCAGTTGGCTCCTATTTATTAGCTTGTTATCTTCTTGGTGCTCACAAATCAGTTGTTTGATTACTTGTTGATTATCTGTTGATTAGCTGTCTGTCTGGAAGCTGAAGCTCAGCCCTCTGAGCAATCATCCCCTGAATTTTCCCTTTGCCTGTTTGAAGAGATACTGGCTGAGAGAAAATTGAGAAAGGCTCTTAACTGACAAATAATTCCCAGCGCTCTTTTACCACTTTTTAAATTTGATGTGTAAGTAATGTGAGAACCCTTGTATCTAGAGGATTAACCCTACTAGTTCAAGTTTAAATGTGTCATGGCTCTGAGGGCACTAATGGACTTTCCTGTCCCTGCCCACTCCTCAAGGCTTCCTTCACGCTGCCCATGACCCAGGACCTCAGGTGCTGTCAACCCCTGTCCCAGCGATGCCACAGCAGGGTCAGTCTCCAACTCTCCATGGCCCTGCCCTGCCTGGCCATGGGAGATGGCTCATGAGGACTTATTGCTGCTTCCAGCTTTTTGCACAATATTTCATGGCAATATAAACCAAAACCGAGCCCGAGCTGCAGTGGTGGGCATGGTGAGGGACGTCGGAGGGACAATGGCATCCCTTGCAGAGGGGCAGCAGTGCAGGGGGGGATGGAGGCAGACGTATCTGCCAAAGCACCTCTGTGCAAGTCCTGCACTAGGGTAAATCCGTATGTGGCAGCTTGGCTGTGCAGTGGTTGAATAAGATTCTTTGTTTTGAATATTGTGACTTTTTTTTTTTCCCCATAAAAATATGTTTCCCTCATTCTTGTATGGTAAGAAAGGGAAATCTGAGCATCAGGCTCACCTTGGCTGTATTAGGGATAATTTTATGGGCCACCTTCATTTTATTTCTCACTTGATTCGTCTTCTTTCCAAATGGAAAAGTCTGCGTGTTTAATTTCTCTTCATCCTCTAGTAGCTTCCTTCCAGAGACTGGTTTGACAAAACTTGTGCTCTGGCCACGGGTGCTGAGCATGGTGAGGGACATCGGAGGGACAATGGCATCCCTTGCAGAGGGGCAGCAGTGCCGGGGGGATGGAGGCAGATGTATCTGCCAAAGCACCTCTGTGCAAGTCCTGCACTAGGGTAAATCCGTATGTGGCAGCTTGGCTGTGCAGTGGTTGAATAAGATTCTTTGTTTTGAATATTGTGACTTTTTTTTTTTCCCCATAAAAATATGTTTCCCTCATTCTTGTATGGTAAGAAAGGGAAATCTGAGCATCAGGCTCACCTTGGCTGTATTAGGGATAATTTTATGGGCCACCTTCATTTTATTTCTCACTTGATTCGTCTTCTTTCCAAATGGAAAAGTCTGCGTGTTTAATTTCTCTTCATCCTCTAGTAGCTTCCTTCCAGAGACTGGTTTGACAAAACTTGTGCTCTGGCCACGGGTGCTGAGCTGTCACTGCTTTCGCCAAACAGTGTTCACGATGGTTTCAGTTTTCTCTGTCCCGTTTGCAGCGCACTCAATTTGCTGTATTTCCCCTCTCGGCGGACCGAGTGCAGGGTTTCTCTGAGCTGTCCATGGGGATGCTCAGATTTGCAACCCGAGTGGTCATGGTTCATTTGAAATCCATCAATGTGCATGAGTGGTTCAATTTGTTTCTTCTAATGTTCATTATCCTGCACTTGTCTACGCTGAATTTAATTTGCCAACTGTCTGGTTCTGCTAGGGCTGTCTGCACTGCAGGGTAGCCCTTCTTGGAGAAAGATGCAGAGATGTTTGTTCTTCTAAACACTCTCCTGCTTAAGGAATTTGCTGCGGTGCTGGGTCTCTTGAATTGTTTCCCAACCCACTAAGATGGCTCAACCAAAATGCTGTGTGATACTGGGAGCAGTCCCTGGTCTCTTGTCCTCTAAAACTCCTAAAAGGAGCCTTATAGCAGAGGGAGAAACATGATCAAGCCTAGTATTAGAGGGTATCCAAACTATTTTACATGGAAGGATCTCAAGATCTGGGGAATGTCCAGTGCTTTGGATGAGGTGTCAATGTGCCAGAATCTGCCTTTTCCAGCAGTTTTAGGGAGGTCCAGAACTCCTTCATATAAGGCTGGGAGCATTTTACGGCTTCTTCTTGATTTGGTCAATCAAATGGCTACCATAGACAATTTGTTAAACTACTTTTATTTTATACACTGTCCTGATTGCTTTATAAGCCAATATTTTACAGTTTCTAGGTTGTTTCCAAACAAAATCTCATATCTAAGAGTTCAGTGCGGGCTAGAACTGTGCCTGTCCTCTCTTCCAGTGGCCCTAGTGAATGGTCTTCAGTTGCTGGCATTGCACTGACTCTGTGGCCTAGGAAAGCCAGAGGTAAAAGTTTGGAGAGGAAAGTGATGGCCCAAGCATTTTTACTAGTGGGTGGGACTGGGCACAGTTACATGCAGCTTCCAACTTTATCATGGACTTTTGTGAGACTGGACCAAGCTGGGCAAGGTACAGCAAGGAGCCTGTTAAATCAGCTGTCTCTGTGTGTGTATGCCGAAAAGCTGAAACTGTTGATCCTCAAAATACTGTGTTTCAGCCACATTGGCTGGAGGCTGCTCTCAAACCGGCATTGTCTGGAAGGGTTTCCAGATGCCTGCAGCCTCGGACGTTCTGTGTAACAAGTGCTAAAGGGAATTTGGCTTTTCCTGTGCTGCGCAATCAGGAACAGCACCTTTCATCCAAAGCTCAGTCGGTAAGGATAGGGAGGCCTATAATTTTCCTCAGAGAAGGAATTATAACACCATGTCTGTGAGGGTTTCCTGCTGTCCTTTCCAAGCTCTTGCCTGTCTTGCCTTCCTTCATACCTGAGCCACTTCCAGATGTGCAGCAACCAACCTGCCTTAGCCTACTTGTGTCTGAACTTACTACCCGTGTCTCAACATGAGTTGGGTGCTCTCCCTAATACTCTCATGCTTGTCTCTGCTCTAGATGACAAGGGCTCCCCAAGGAGAGAAGAACAGCCGGAAGGGTTTTGATGAAAAGGCTTACTTGTCCTCCAAGCTGCTGAAGGCCGGAGAAGACCCCTACCGCCAGCATGCTTTTAATCAGCTAGAGAGCGACAAACTCAGCAGCGATCGGCCCATTCGGGACACCAGGCACTACAGGTACCGTGCAGCCCCTGCTCCAAGCCATGTTTGTGCTTGGTGTGGGGAGTCCATTGCCCTCCTCTGCTGTTCTATGATGATGACAAAGGATGGTTTGGGTTTCTCTTCACCAGCGTTGGTCCGTTACCTCACTGTATTTCATGGTTAATCTGGAAAGGTCTCAAATGCGCAGAGACCCTTGACTAATTTGGCCCCGGCTTCTTGCTTTTGTAGGATTTCTTCTCTCAGGTCTGAGCACCATCTGTGTATTTCAGCACAGACCCTCCATTGCAGCTCAAGTTGCTCCTGACAGTTGGTTTTTGCTCAGGTCCCCTCACCCTCATGGCTTCCCTCAGCGACCTTCTGTCCTGGCTGCAGGGTACACCACTGTTGCAGCCTGGCTTTATGCTGGCATTCCTCACCTGCTCTGAAGGTTGCTACTTGGATATTTCTCACCTTGGTGCCTTCTTTCCAGCCTGAGCATTACGGTTTGGATGAAGGCTGCCAGGGTGGGGATGAAACTAACGTGTGACTGCAGTGAATATTTCATGGCTTGCAGAGTTCTCATCGTTCTGTTCTTCTTTCACTGGGGGTGAATTTATTCTGCTGACTAAATTAATCTTTAAATTGCTAATAGTGCTCAGGTAACAATTTTGTAGTTTCTGGAGTACAAAAAGATTATGTTTTACCTTGAAAACTGTAGGTTTGATAGTGATAGGATAGTGTAAACCAACCTACTTCAATGGAGAAAAAAAATAGAAGAAAACTAAGCACGTCTGAAATGCACGTCTATCCAGGCTGGTATCTAGACCTTACCTAGGTTTGCAAAGCAGCATTTCACAGCTGCTGGGAACGGGAAAGCAGGCATCTAAATTGGAACTGTGAAAGGGATGTCGGGAGACATGGAGCTTTGGGAGCCTGCCAGCAGTGACAGCCATCAGGGTGCTTTGTGAACACAAGCAGTTGGGACCTTGGTTGGGAGATGAAAGGCTTGCGCTCCTGTTCCCCAGCATAGTCCTCGGGACTGGCTTCCTAGGGACTCGGAGGCAGCAGCGCCATGTCCTGCGTTATTGACAAGTCTCCCTGCCATGCAGAATTGCTGTTTTCTGTTAATCTGCTGTCATATTCTGGCCTAAAAAAGGATCACTTCAAAGGTGAAGTATTGTTTATTTTGATCTGTGGTAGCAAGCAGAGCATGCTTTTTGTGAAAAGCCTCATCTACGCAGTTCAGTCTGAAAAACAACATGTATGTGATTCCCTGGAAATGTATGGCCATTTCAGCCCCAGCTTCGCAAGGGTTCCCTTCAGCGATGGGGAGTCCAAAGCAGAGTATAATCAGAGCAGATAAACCTATTTCCATGTTCCTTGCTTTGCAGAGGTGGCCGTTTGGGAATGAGTGAGCTGTGTTGGAGTACCTTGTCTTTTAACTACGCTGAAGTAGTTGCTGGGCTGGCAATGTAGGATGAGGAGTTAATTCAGCTGATACAAGTTAGATTGTGATTTGAGAAAAGCCCATTCTTCTGTCACAAATGGACCTGGCTCCTTGTTTAAGGAGTGAGGGATCAATAGGTCACTAATATGTCACCTTTTCTTCAGGCACCCAGGCAGGGCTTGAATATACTTGACTCCACGTCCTACAAGCTCCTTCTGACCTAGCATGTACTGTTTTTTTGATCCAAAGCAAAGAGAGGGCCAACTTTCAAGCACAAACTTTGTCCTTGTCCCCTGTGATGCTGTAGTAATGCTGAGATCTTGGGAAGACTTCCCCAAATAACACACACACCAATCTCTGCTGCTTTTACACTTCCTGATGCCTTAATACATTTTGTATGCATTACATCATGGAGTTATTTTGAAACAATAATAAATGTGGTATGTCTCCTGTCTGGTTTTGGGTTTTCCACTTCAGTCTTTATCAAGGTTTCTTTATATGTTTGAACATTGCTGTAAGAAGCTGCTGTCCCCTTAATAAAATATTGCAATGAAAAAGTCATAAACCAGTAGGACTGAATGTGATGTTAAAAACGGTAACAGTTTAGTAACAGCCACAAAAGAACAGTAAGTAAACGTGGAAGAACAATTAGTGGCTATAAGAACTGAGTTATATTCCCTCCCAGGACAGACGCAGTCTGTGCATGGCCTTGAGTTGTTAAAAACACTAGGCCACAATTTCAGGTGTGGGCTCTTTGTTAGGCACAGAATTAGCACAGACTGAGTGCTGTTTGACACTGGCTGGGAATTAAGGTGGCAGACACTCTGGAGAAGCAGAACAGCCCAAATCTGCCATTCCTAGTATCTGCCAGAATTGGACCCAGGGTTCACATCTGTGAAGAGTTCTCCTCCAAGAAACTTTGGTCTCCACAGGGTATGAGCAAGCTGATCCTGAGTTAATCCTTGGTTTTGAGTATGGGAATGAATGTATGTTACCTAACATTACAAAGTCATGGGCGAGATGAGAGGATGGGAGGAATTGTTTTCTATTACCAGCTGAGGTATTAGTGTTGAACTTCAGCTGCTACGGGGTGATGTTTGGCTTACACTTCTCCTCTCCCCTGTTGCAGGTGCACTTCTGTACGCTATGACACGGACTTGCCAGCCACCAGCCTCATCATCACCTTCCACAACGAGGCGCGCTCCACCCTGCTCCGCACGGTGAAGAGGTGAGTTTGGCAAGGGCTGCTGGCCCAAATGGTGGTGGCCTGGTGGAGGGTTAGGGATTTTCCAGCAGTTAGCCAAGCAGGGTGGCTGCAGTCCCCAAGTAATTGTGATCTGTCCCGGTAGAACAGGTCAGGGGCTGACCTGATGGCTCACCAAATCCTTTTTGGGGCTTTCTCCACATACCTTGCTGAACCTGCAGGATGCTTGCTGTCTTGTACAAAGGTCTCCTCATATCTGGGTATCATCAGCAGTGGCCAAATCTAACCAGATAAATAGGTGGCATAGGACCTGTCAGCATACCCAGGTAGACAGGAGCATGCAGTTAACTGTATCAGAAAGCAATGTTCCAGCTGCTCCTTCCCTTTCCCATCAGCCCCATGGAACCCAGGGAGGGTCTTTTCCTTTTAGTCTTTACATGAGAAGTGCCCTCTGCCCTCTCTGCCTTATCAAGTCATTTCTCAAAGGGTCTCTGAAGCCTGCACGCAGGTCCAGGAACAGCCTGTGGAGGCTGAAGGAAGAGTGAATTGTCAGGGTAGAAGGTTGAGCTGATGGTATCACTAACATGAATGCATTATTCATCATCACCACTTCTTCCCCTGTCAGATCCTGTGGGCTTAGAGAAATGTGCTTTGTGAATAAATAACAGGCTTTTTCAAGTTGGCCTCATGGCTAGGAGGCTGGGTTTCTGTCTGCCAGGTTTGGTGCTACTGTGTTTCCGGAGACTTGTGTATATTGCGTTAACACAGTTTGCCTTTTAATCTCTATCTTTTCCTTTTCATTTGAACCATAAAACAAGTTCTACAGAACCACTGTTCAGAAAATGAGCAGACTTGTTTGGAACCACAGTGCTGCTAGGGCAACGGCAGGAGATTTCTGCCAATTACATCATAGGTCAGACAGTAAATGGCTAGGTGCTCAGAAACCATGGTAGTAGGATCCTTAAGAAAATCTGAAGGCAGCCAATCAAGTAGCCAGATGCCATGATGGTTTGTTGGGGTTCTGTTTTACCTTGAACCAGGACATAGCTAAAATGAAGAGAAGATGACACTCAGAGCAGTAGTAATGCACAGAGAGAGAAATTGATATCCAGATCTTATGGGAGTGATGTGTACTAATGAGCAGGTAAGTGTTGCCAGTGCATCAACGGCCAGTATTGCTCTAAGCAGGGTCAACTAGAGTAGGTTACTCAGGGCTGGATTCTCCATGGATGGAGACTGTGCAATCTCTCTAGAGTAGGTTACTCAGGGCTGGAGTCTCCATGGATGGAGACTGTGCAATCTCTCTGAGCATTCTCTTCTCAAGGCTAAACAACCACAGCTCCTTCAACCTCATCTCATATGTCTAATGCTCCAGTTACTTAATTTTCTTAGACCTGCTTCAGCATGTCCCTCTTTTTCTTGTTCTGGGAAGCCCAGAACAGGACACAGCACTCAGCATGTAGATGCAGTATTACCAGTCTCTCAGATATGGTCTCCTGCAGCCCAGGGTCCCCAACAAAGACTGTGAAAAATGGATTAAGCATCTGTTCAAATTGGTCCCCTGCAATCCTGCTGTCACTGGAGAATGTTGTGAGGGGCTGGCTGTGCTCTGCTGTGAACAGTGGCGTGGATGGCATTTCCTCTCAGACCTCTGGCTACAGCTGGAGTCTTCAGTGCCAGATGGTTTACAGCCAGTGCATGTGACTGATTTACTCCTTGCTTACATCAAATGTCAGAAGTGTCCGTGATTTATCCCTGTCTGATGAGGGATCCCAAAGGCTGAATTCTTCTTGAGTTCTATGGTATTTGCAGTGTCACACAACCAAGCATTAGCTCGTAGCCTTGTCTTTGAGTCATGGGAAGTTTGTCAGCTATAGACAGAGGTGAGGGCTCAGGTCATGGCTGCACTGTTAGAAGAGGTGTGGGGCTGATTCCCACTTGCAGGTTGACACAGTTGTTGTAGAGGGAGTTGAAGAGTTAGATTTCATGATGCTTTTCAAGGCCTCTTCTGTAACCCGGGAGTCCTGTCTTTCAGCAGAACGCATCTGAATGTGCCAGGCTGAGTTACTGCTGTGACTGTAATTGTCGCTCAATTCACATACAGTGAGTGCACCAAATGCTATGTAATTATTACCTTGCAGCACTTTGGGATAAGTCAAGTACCAAAGGGACAGGGCTGTTCTGTTCTGTTTGGTTTATGACCTGCCTGTGAGTCTGCAGAGGACCACAGTGATATTAAGCAACAGGAGGCATAAAATTGCACTGCCTGCTTACCTGCTGACTAGTCAAGCTTGCAGCCTGTCATTATTTCTATATCTATAAGAGCTTTCTTAAGCCAGATAGAGCATGATTATTTAGGTAATTAGAATTAACTATTTGAGATGCACCTGGTGAAAATTAAATATGATTTGACCATTATTATGGGCCTTTTCCCAAGTCTAGTTATCATAATTACACTATGGGGAGTGGAAGAGGGCAACTGATGGAAATAAACAACACTAACAGCAAAATTTTCTGTGGCTGAAAATTTTTTTAGAGTTCCAATCTTTAGAGGCAAGTAGAATATGAACTAGCAGTTGAAGTTTTCATACCTGAGATCTTTGCGAGCCTGGCTGGTGAGTGCCTGAATCTGGGCTCTCAAAAGTCAGCTGTAAAATTTTGCGAAATTCTAGGAAGAAATATATAAAAAGGGTACTGGGATTAAACTAATCTTAATTTAAAACTAGAGGGAGCTTGAATGTGCTCCCCTGGGCCAGGTACTGTCTTACTGTGTTATTCTGACAGCTGTGCAAAGTAACTCAGCTGCGTTGCAATGCTGGTACCCAAAGGCCTTGGGAAGACCTAGGGATGGGACTCCTGCATTGCGATTTATTTCAGGGTGATCTAAACGTGTCAGCTGTAGGGGTCAGATCCTGATCTGCAGACCCGTCTTGGTAACCACACCTGTATGTGTGCACAGATGGGAAATGGGCTATCCACCAGAACCTGTGACCATGCCAGTTCAAATGGCTTGTTGCTGGCATCCTCGGTCCTGCAGGAGATGTGTCAGTCAAGAACTGACACATTTGTGTCAGTTTGTGTAATGTCTCTTCCTTGTCGGGACAAGCTATGTCCTGAGAGCTGTCACTCAAACCAGTTACTTGCTTGGCATCCTGTTCTCCCTCAGAAATAGCTGTCAGTCAAAAGGCATTTTGTGTGATTGATGTCTATGCCTGATTAGTCATTAGGCGATACCATCGCTTCTGCTGCAGTGACCATTCTTGCAGACGGGAAAATCAACTGCTTTATTGTGTGGTCCCTTTCTTTCTCTTTTTTTTCCGATTTCAGTCAGTACTGTGGGTACTGTTTGTCTTTGGTGCAAATATAAAGGGGAATAGTCCAGTTTTAAGTCAATGGACTTGAACAGCTGTCAGTGGTTCAATGCCTATGTAGAGAGCCTTCATAAATTCTGATCAAAAAGGATGCTGTTGTAATGCCAGAGCATTTGGTATAGCAACTCATTACAATGACAATTTAAATAATGGAAAAATAGAAGATTATTTTAGAGCACAGGAAAAAAGAGATTCTCCTCTGCTAACATCTGGAATAAATGAGATTATCTATGAGCTGATGAAGGATGGAGAGAGGAGGGAAACTCATTGGCGTTGCTGATGTAGTGTCATACAACAGAGTAAGGACACTGTTGCTGAAAGAAGGAAAGTGTGAGAAAAGACAAAGGAGGTAGGGAATCTATGAGTTAAGGGGAGAACAGTCTGTATTTCTGCTGTAAAAGGCAATTGTCATTTGGATTTTGGACTCCTAGTAATACATTTTGTTCCTAAAAGTAATCTATTGTCATGCCAGTCTCTGCACCTCATTGGAGGAAAATACTAGGATTACTGTGTTTCTTGTTAAAAAGACAGACAAGACAAAGTGCAAAGAAGACTAAGTACCTTTCCCAAAGTTCCACAGCAAATTATTGCAGAGCTGAGAGCAGAACTGGGCATTGAACAATGAGCTGTGAACTCCTTGAGGAGTGATTTCTCGCTACTGGGAAATCAGTGGACAGGTGAGGAAGAGGGAACAAAGTGTGTGCTTTTCTTTTTTCCTAGTTATGTTGAGTTGGAAGACCAGAAACTTGTGGAGAAAATGAGAGCACTGCTAATAATCAGGCTAGTGGGAAAAGGTGTAGAATACTGTTTTACAGCCATTATACTGCAGGATGCAGCCTGTCTGGGTTGGTTATGTTTTGCATTGAGTTTGCACAGACAAGAATTTCAGTGCAGGGCAACCTTGTCTGTAAAATATGCAGATGATGGCTATGCTGGGAGAAGCTGCACTTATAAATGCAAAGAGGAACATCTCCCATCTCCCACCCCACCGTGCTAGAGGATCCAGAGAGGTATGAGCCTAGAGAAGCAAATGAGATTCAGCTTTGAAAAATGCAAGCTCAGTCATCTAGGGACGTGTAAGCTCAAAATACGAATACTCTCTGAGATGTATGAAGCAGCATAAATCTGAAACAGAGTGGGATGTGATACTGAGCAGCAGAGCAGTCAGGATTTTGTTGTGTGAGACAGCAGAAAACTTTCCCAAACTGAGGAAACTTTGGCTCTGTATGCAAAGCCATCAGTGATGCTACTTAGCAAGATGGTAATTTATTTCTCTACAGCTCCATTCCTGGAAGTATTACTCTTGTTGTCTGTTTCCTGTATAAAACAAAAAAAGAAAAAAAGCCAACAACCTTTATGCAGAATTGCTCAAAATCAGAAGTGTGGGTGCCATTGAAATGAGACAGGTTGCTAGAACCAAGACTGAGCAATCTTGTTGAAGGCAATGAGGACCTGACTGTGCCTAGAGGCATTTGGAGAAGGAGGCTTGAAGGAGGAATATGCTGTGTGGTTGTAGTAGAGCCAAGGGAGAGACTTGTAGAAGTTATGGAAAATTATTTGAAGTGTCTTAAACAAATGAGAGAGACAAAGAGATGAGAATCAGACTGCTCTGACTCCAGCGTACTGGAGTACATCAGCCCCTGAGGAGGGCAGAAGCTTTTATCACCCCCTCCCTGTGTGTGAAAGCCCCTGTGTGATGGAAACCCACTGCAGTCCCATGGGTATGGTGGGGTGGGGTGTGACCAGCCCGAGGTCCTTCCAGCAAGTGTTGGGGCTGGTTTGAAAAAAACATAAGTAATGAGCAGAAGAGGAAAATAAAACCCAAATCCAGAATATAGCCAAGGAAAATTGCCTTCCTCCCAAAGAATGGAATTAGTGAGGAAGCCCCAGCAGGCCTAGTCTGTGGCATTGAGACAGAGCTCCTTGCTGGGGAAAGTGGCAGCTCTTTCCACTCCCAGGCAGTGATGAGCTTTGCCCAGAGTTTGGCAGATGGGAATGGCCTCCTGGCTGCCTCGGGGTGGGTGGTGCTCTCCTCTTTGCCTCTCTGTGTAGAAGCAGAGAGCTTGCTGCAGCATCCTCTGCTGTCTGCCCCCAGGCAGTCCCGCAGTCTGCTTCCTGGCTGTGGTCCTTGTAAGGTCCAACTGAGATATCATAGCTCTCTGCTTGCAGTTTGGCTTCTGCCAAGGAACCCTGGTACAAGGGCAGGGTTACCTCTTCCACATCACTGGAGTTTGGTATTCCTGCTGTAACGCATAGCACAGCAGATTTGTATCAATCGTTATTATCATTGTCATTCTTATGGCACCTCACAAAGATTATTTTTTTTCTCCCTGGGTCCCTGCAGTGTCTTGAACCGCACCCCTCCCAACCTCATCCAGGAGATCATTTTGGTAGATGACTTCAGCTCAGATCGTAAGTATGGACCTCTTTCCCTTGCACTTTTTTCTTCCCTTCTGTTTTCCATCTTTTTGTTTGCTCTGTTCAGTCCCCCTACGTTACAGAGATTCCCTCTTCTCTGTGTGCAAGAGAAAAAGAAAAGAGGGGACGTTTTTCTGTGTTTAGTTTGTGTCCATGCATGGCAGAGGCCAGAGCATCTTCCTTCTTTCTGTCAGCTTGGCAGTTTTGGGCAGGTTGCCACTTCTGTTATGCATCATTTTGTGAGCTGTTTAGCCCAGGTAAGTATGTAAAAGTGGTGTACATGGGCATAATGGGTAACTACAAACCAAGAGAGAGCAAGAGGATGCAATGGAGCCTACAGAAAATGCTCCCTGGGGTCCTGAAGGCAGACTCGGGCAAGACTGTCTGCCTGCCTCCATGTGTCTGGGATCCCAGGTGTCCCTGTGTGTCGTGGTTTGGGCCATGGAAGGGTTATTGCTTTGGACAACACCATAACTTCTTCAGCAGCTTGGCACAGGGATGGAGTGTCTTCTGTGTGAGTCCCACCAGCCCTGTAGGCCAAAGGCTGTGGACTGTTTCCGTCCAGACTGTTGCTCTTCCTCCTGGGTGTTCTGTAGTAGTGGTGAGGTGGTGGGGACAGAAGACTTCTTGCATCTCCCATGATGTGTGCTAAATTCAAGGACAATCCAGTTATGTGCCACTTATAATAACTGATAATTACTTCTTCAGAACACTTTACAGAGAGCTCAAAATGCCCACCTTGGCCTGCTGAGGTAAGGAAGCGTAGCTTTTTTGATTTTGGAGCTAAATACTGTGTAGTTTTGGCCAAAAAATTTTAAAGGCAGATGCTGAGATTAGGGATTTATCTTTCTGGGGGCCTTAGAGTATGATTTGGATAAGGACTGAGCTGTGACTGCCCAGCTGTTTGAGCTGGGTGTTTCTGAGCACCTCCAACAAACAGTCCTAAATGTCCTGTGTTTGGCATCTAGAAATTCAGTTCTCAATGGCCAAAGTGTACCAGATCAACACTGATGGATCTCTGGGACCTGTACTGCACAGGGCTCAGCCAGAAACTCCCATTTAGGCTCCTAGGTAAATGGAAAGATTTTTAAAAAGCCCCATCCTGTGACAGCTCTCATTTTTCTCGATGGCAGTGGGATATTTGTGGATACAGCTATTCCCCTGAGGCACCTGCATGGAGGCACTTTAGCACATGTTTGAGGTCTGACACTTTGCTTTTTATATCCACTACAGTTTCTGTAAAGATACAGAGAGTTTCTGAGCTCTGGCAAGTAGTTACAGCCAGAGTGATATGCTTCACTCCTGAAGAGTGAGTGACTTGATAAGGATTCTCGTACTTACCTGAAGTTGTGACTCAACCAAGATGAGTGTTGCCCTCTCCTGTAGCAGATGTCCAGCAAAATCTGGGTACTCTGTAATTAAGAGCACCTGCCACTTCGCTTGGATGATGCAGCAGCTGCCAAAGTGCCCCCACAAGAGCAGTATTTCAGGTTGCACGTATCCTTGAGAATGGAGATGCTCCTGCAGGAGCATGCACTTTGGCTAATGGCCTTTGCCTTCTCCCCAGTCTGAGGGAGGATGACAGCAGGCGAGGGGAGGTGTGAGCCCTGAAAAGGAACGAGCAACAAACATGGAAACTGGGGTGAACTTGGTGGAGTGAGGGAAAAGAGCCAAGTTAGAAATTGTTATTCCTGTGACCTCTGCTAGGGCAGGAATGGAGAGGGGATAATGGGGGACTAAAGACCCAGTGCTCACTGGTCCAGCTGGGCTGGAGCCGGTGGCTGTTCCTCTCTGTCGTCTTGCCTGGGCACTGTGAGGGAGGGACTGCTCGAGCTTCTGGCAAGCTGGCAGCAAAGCCCTCGGTTAGGCATCCGTGTGTTAATGTAATGGTGCCTCCAAGGAACCGAGTCACATCCCTGTAGCCTTTATTAAATAAAATCAAGCAGAAACTGCCCCGAGAACAAATGGTGGGAAATGCCCAGGTGAGCCGCTGAAGGCAAAGAGAGCGGATGAGACCGCTTTATATGACAGGGACTCTCTTTTACTTGGCACGTTGGTGATTTGCAGCCGTGGCTCCCCGTGGTCCCTCTGTTTCATCAGTGGTCGGTGCCGCGTTGCCAGTGCGTGCGTTTGTGAGATGCTGAGTGCAGGAGGGTGAAGGCCTGGCTGCTCAGAGCATCAGGACACACAGGCTCAGTGGTCCGAGGAGGACAGCAAGCAAGCAGTGCTCTTCTGTGTGCTCTTTTAGACAGTCAGGGTGATTAACGTGATACTAAGTGAAGGCAGAATTTCCCCTCCTGTGGAGAAGCAGGAGAACAGTTAATTGGAGCTCTCTGTTGAAGCCAAATAATTCATGCATGTGTGCCAAATGTTTTTTTTTTTTTTCCTTCCCTAAGCTGAGGACTGCCAACTCCTTACGAAGATCCCGAAAGTTAAGTGTCTACGAAACACCCGGCGGGAAGGTGAGTGTGGAAAGCTTGGTACAGATTTTGTAGGTTTTCCCCCATGACCCTGTTTGCTTGCCAACTGCTTGCGTGTTGTTTCTTATGATTAGTGTTTGTTTTTTCAGTATGAGAGTTTGGTGTCCTAGTTTGGAGGCTCTGTGGAGGGAGAACCTGGCTTATCAACACTCAGGCTTCAGGGCTCTCATTTTGTACTTTAAATAATGAGAAGTGGTGTCCAGAGGCCCTGGCTAGAACAAGGACCGCAGTTTAAGATCTTATGAATATAGATGCAGATGTAAGTCTTACCCTTTTAAACTCCAGAGTGCAAGATAACAAGCCATCTAGGAGATGTGGGAAAGGGAAAAACAATCATATATCTATCATAAATAGATACCATTAAGGAAAGTTATTTCTCGCATATCTCCTATGTGCATAAATGGTAATGCTGACTCTCCCGGCTGCTCCTCAGTTTGACTCACATGTGCTGGCTTATTTCTAAACCTGTCAGGGCACAGCAGGCCTGGAGCAAGGGTCTGGAAGGGGAGATGACAGTCACTGCTCAGTTCACAAAGGGCATTCCAGGTGGTCTGTAGGAAAGTATGGAGACATCTGAGAGACAGCTTGACATCTCTGGCTGCAGGGCAGAATAAAGGACAAGGGAGAATAAAGCAGATAAGCAGTAAGAAAGGCAACAAGCAGGGAGTAGAGCTTGATCCCATGGAGGTGGTGAGAGAGGCAGCAGGGTGGCTCTGATGGGAGAGGCACTGAGCAGGCAGCAGCAAGGTGCCTGTGGGGAGGGCTGGAAGTGAAGGGGAATGTCATCAAGGCAGGAACCGGATGAAAACTCAGTGGTGTGGACAGAAGTCACAGGTGAGGTCATTCTTTGTCTGCTGACAGGGCTTGGCTGAGAGCATGTCCTCCAGGGCATGCCCTGCTAAAGCTGCTCTCTGCTTCTGGTGGAGATGTGATACAGGAGAACCACCTGTTCTTCTCCTGTACACACACAAGTATTTTATTTTCTGAAGGAGGCTCAACTATTTTCCTTCCTAACCTTCCTGCTCTTCTGCTGTCCTTTCCTCATCGTAGGGCTGATTCGCTCTCGGGTGCGAGGCGCAGAAGTGGCTACTGCTGACATCCTCACCTTCTTGGACAGTCACTGTGAAGTCAACAGTGAGTGGCTGCAGCCAATGCTTCAGAGAGTGAAAGAGGTGAGTGCCATCTCCCCTTGTGGAAAGGATGGAGCTGACCTGGCTTGTGCTGGTGGATCCTCTGCCCTCACATGCCATCAGCAGTGCCAGTGAGGACAGCATTCCCAGTTACTCCTCAGGCAGGCTGTCACAGAGGAAAGTACAGCCTGAGCTAGATGGGCAAGAGATCCCTGACGGGCTTCTGCCTTCTCCTGCTAATGTGGCAGGGCTGGAAGTGCTCAGTGATGGTGCAGTGGTGAATGCTTGAACCACTAACTTATACCTTGGGTCTCCTGCAGGTGCTGTGCTTCCTATTCCTGTCCACCCTTACAGAGGACAGCCACTTCTGCAGCACGCACTGTGCAACTGTTCCGTGGTGGCCATCTCCCTTCTTGCTGCTGGACCCTCCCCTCTGCCTTGTCACTGCCAAAACTTTCCTTCCGTTAATGCTCCTGCTGAGCTGCCAAAACACATCACCTGCACGTGGGCGGCTTCCTAGCACAGAGGAGCTGCCTGTGGGCACGGGGATGTCCCTTTGCTGGTTCACTTGGGAAAGGATTGACATGGGGCTGGAAGAGTGAAAATGCAGCAGGAGCATTAGCAGCTGTCACCCTGGCTGTGCTGTAGGGCTGGAGGGGGAGACATATGGCTCCACTGTAAGAGCAAACCGGGGAGAAGTGATGCGAGGAGTCACAGCCGTGCTTGCAAGTGGCAGAGATTGATCCTCTCCTCTGAAAGGAGGATTCCATGTAGTTATGGCCCCCAGGAGAAGGGGTGGAGGCTCTAATGCTGCCTTGTATTCGTGTTTTCTTGGCTTAATGTGAAGGGGCAGAAGACAGTGAAACTTCAGGATTGATGACTTAAAAGCTCCTGCTTTTTATTCCTGCTCAATAAATCCTCCATCTCGAAAGCCCATAAATGTTTTCTTTACTGCTGCTCTTTAAGTCAAGCTGCAGCAGCAACAGCGTAGGGGTCCCTGACCAGAAAGGACCTCACAAGTTTCTTCAGGGAAGGATCTAAGTTGCAGAAGATTGTGTGCTGACTCCAGTATTATTTAGTGAGCGGATTTCAAGTCAGCCTATTTCTGACCTACTTCCTACATTTCTGATGTGCATCCTGGTTCAGATTGCAGTCTTGCCATGCCTGGTCCTAGCATTGGCTGGTTGGAGCAGTGGCTGGAGCACCAGGCTGCCGGGTGGGTGCCGGGGGGGGCTCAGGCTGGGCAGACGTACTCTTGCTGTACTCATAAACATGAGTAATGGCTCTCACCTAGGACGCACCATCCTGGCCAAGTGTGCTACAGCAGGAGGAACTGTTGCAAGGCACAAAATGGAGGTTTGATAGGAAAGGCTGGCAGCTTGTCCCATAACAAGACGCTGTTTCTGGCATTGCCAGCTCTCTGCTTCGTCATATATTTCAGCTCCCACAAGCCTGTCTTTAATTCCCTGTCTCATGATGCTGAAAAATTGCTATAATCTCAACTTATAGTTAGTCAAATAATTGCAGAGGAAAACTGTAAATATCTATACCCTTTAATGCCGGTAGAGTACCCCCAGTATCTTAATATTATAATGCCATGGTTTTTTTCAGTTTGCACTATGGTTCTTAAGTGTGAGGTCTTGATTCACAGTACTTGTTAGGAAAATGCTTTATTAGTAGGTTGATCATATCTAGGCTGATGATAATACATTAGTTCAAGGATGACTGAGCAGAAAGTATGCTGGCAGTAGATATCAAAACCAAGCAGAAAACCTTTGAGACAGTGATTCATGTCCCGTAACTTGGGCAGGAAATAAAGAACTGTTTCTTTGCAGCACTCCTGGGTGTTGGGGACCCTGGATCCCTTGCTCAGCTACCAGAACTGCACTGGAGAAGTCAGACAAAGATTTACATGTGTAGCTTTGTGTTTTCTGATCTCTGGCAGCTTTTCCAGACATTCAAGAAAAGCCTGACTCTTCTTTTTTTTTTTTTTTTTTTTTTCCCCCCCCGTTCTCTCTCTCCCTCAGGATTATACCCGAGTGGTGAGTCCAATCATTGATGTTATCAGCCTGGATAATTTTGCCTATCTGGCAGCATCAGCAGATCTGAGGGGAGGTGGGTATAATGGCTTGTGTCAGTTAGGCCTGAGGGATGGTGCATGAAAAATAATTTATGTTCTCTTCAGCTTTCTAAGAAAACAGAGCGATCATCTTTTCTGATGGGTTCTCTGTCCTCTTTTTCCTGCAACTTGCAAAGTCAGATCTTTTGCAGAATTAAAACCCAACTAGTGATTCCCTCTTGAGCTTGCATCACTGCCACAACATTTTGCAATTTCAGGGCTTAGTTAACTGGTTAAACATATCACCATGCCCTCCCTACACTACACGTACGCTGGAATCTGACAGGCACTTACAGTTGCTGCTCCTAACTGCCCAGCTACCTCATGGTATGTTCTGAAAAGCATTTTCCCTTCTCGCCTGGCGGCTGAACCCCATTGCAGCTGTTCCTGTGGTCACCCACAGTGCCTGGTGCTCTTTTCCCTCTTCTATGGCTGGGGTTCACTGCCACACTGCTGGCCTGCAAAAAGCTACTCGTTCTGTGGCTACCCTTCGCCTGTGGCTACCACTAACATGGTCTAACCTTAGTGACTGTGCTGTGCTTAACTATCCACCACAGGCCAACTGTAAATAAATGGTAGCCTTGAAAGAGGTGATGGTTATGGTCCCTTCCAATCCAAACTATTCTGTGATGCTATGATTCTGTGATTGTATCTGTAGGCCTCTGTTCCCAGAATACATCACATCCCACAAAGTCCTTTGATTAAAGCCTCATAGCTTTGGCAGACAGGGAAGCGTAAGACTGACTGGCCAAAATGCAATTACATCTCTCACTGACAACACTGTCCTGAAGATACGGAGTGGAATTGAGCAGAAATCTGTAATGCCAAGGGATAAGGATGCCAAGACAGAAGCTGGTGACTTCTTAGCTACGTTAGGATAGACTCTTACCATTTTCGGTAGACCACAAGGGAGGTCAGGGAAGAAAGGCAGGGATAGCCTGTGATGTAAAGGTGGAGACTATCACTGAAGCTAGAAAAACAATAACAAAACCTATTTCATGTGTTTCTTTTCTTCTCAGGGTTTGACTGGAGCCTTCACTTTAAGTGGGAACAGATTCCTATAGAGCAGAAGATGTCCAGAACAGACCCAACTCAGTCTATAAGGTAGCTGTCTCCGATGGACTGTGTACAGCCCCCCAAATGCCTTTACTAAGCCTTCACCTGTGAGACAAGGGACTGCCTTGCTGAGGACAAAATGTCACAAACCCTTTGTGTTATTTTCTGAATGCATTGAGGTCTATACCCTGATTCTGAGAGTATTACTCCCTGAATATTTTAAGAATAGCAATTATAGGCTTGTAGGCAAGCCACCTCTACAAGCCAACTCTTTTATATGTTATGCATTTGTATAAATGCAAAAGACACAGAATCACTCATGTGGTGCTTGCAGAACCATCTAGCAAAGGCAGGAGGATGATCTAGTGAGGGAGGGGCTCAGAAGCCTACTGCAGATTCATATCCCTGCTCTACTATTTTCCTCTTTTAAATAAGATACGATTTTTCAGGCCTGACAAATTGTCTGCCCTCTAAGATGAAGATGCTTGTGCTACATGTACACGTGATCATTTTGTGTGGGCTTGTGTGTTCTTTTCCAGAACCCCTGTCATAGCAGGAGGCATCTTTGTGATCGACAAGTCCTGGTTTAACCACCTGGGAAAATACGATACTCAAATGGACATCTGGGGAGGAGAAAACTTTGGTAAGTTTAGGGTGTTTCAGGGGAATGACACACTAATGCACAACCACTTCCCAGTCTTCATCTCCGACCACAACTCTCCTTTAGAGAGATATGATCCACATGTAAGTCTAGAGACATGGTCAAGTATTCCCCATGTTGGTCAGAATTGTATCATCGTCAGCTTTGTGCAAAGTAGAGGCTTTTTTCGATCAGGGCTATCACTCTCTTGCAGCGTATGCACTATTATGCACGTACTCCCACAGTATAAGAAAGAGGAACATCCTGATATTGAAATTGTTGCTTGTTTTTGGAGTATATTCCTCCAGTCCTTCACATGACAGTCTGTGTTGCCCCAGCTCTGAAGTGGACAGTCACTCCTATGCTCTCTTCTTATACCTGTTCCTCTTTTCCAGATAAGTCTGAGTTGCTCTCCCAGCTTGATAGGTCAGAATGATGTTTTTCCTAATAAAACAAGCCTCTTTTTGTAAGTGGAATTTGGGTGCAAATAGATGGAGAACGCAAACATTTAGAAGCAGACTAGGGCATCACAAACATCTAAGGAATTCAGAGGCCCAGGGTGGTCTGTCCACTCAAGGGCTGTTATCTTATAGGGCATGGTGCTGAAACCCATCTCCTTGCACTTCATGGTGGCACAGATATTCCAGGCATCTCTCTTTGCCCTGTGTGAAGGGATGCTGCAGTGTCACTAGGTGTTAGTGACAAAAGGAAGGAGGGTATTGAAAGAGGTTCAGAGAGACCCCGTGTATTTAGGGCATTCATTTAGAAATGATGCAGGTGGAGCTGAAGAGATAAAAGCCTTACTCTGTTTTGCAGTCAACTGAAATAGACTTTTCCGTAGCTAATGCTGCCAAAAAATTATTCTGTTTCTACAGTTTCCATAAATGTCACAGATTTGTAAATAAATCCCTTTAAAGAAGAATTTATATGGTGTTTTCTAGCACCTGAAGGACCAATTAGAAAGAAAGAAAGAAATAGTCAGGAAGAGGAAACTTCATTCTCCGAACTCAGCTGGGAGAGCTGCCTCTTTCTGAAATGCTCTTTGAAACCAGTGTGAGAACCAGGAAATAATATTTTTGGCTGATATCAAGGTACCACTTTTTTAAAACAAAGTATATAATAATGAGTGCTTGTATTCTCTGTTTTCTGAGGTCTTGCTTCAGTTTTATGATATTCACGATATTAAAAAGGGATATTAAATGGGGCTTGCATTGGGATCTCAGCAGTGCTAGTAGCATCAGCGAAGCATTGTAGGCAGAAGTAACAGGCAGCCTTTACCCAGGCATGAAGATCCCATCTCCCGTGTCCCTCAGACTCCTCTGCATAGCCAAACTCAGCTCCTTGCTGTTCACTAGCCCTGCTCCAGCTGCAGAGCCAGCCACTTGGCCGTCCTGCCAGCCTCCAAGCTGCAACTGTGTAGAAGCTGTAAACCCCGAAGATGGAGAAAAAATATTTCTTTAGGCTTTTGGCTGTCTGTTCCTGCCCACTTGGGAGCCCAGTGTTGTTTGGTGCGTACGTCAGTACCTTGATGCTAAGCAGAGCTCTCTGCCATAAGTGGCAGTAAATTACCTGCACGCCCACAGCCCTTCCTGTATGTAGAGCTGATCAAAACCTCCACAGAATTCCATCATTCTCCTTCAAATTGTTCTGGTAAAGCCTGGCAGTGACTGGGCCAGGCTGTGTGGGACTGGGCCAGGTGTGCAGGGCTTGCCAGTTTTGCCTTGTTGTGTGGTTTCCCTGTAAATTCGTTGTCTCCCATCACTTGTCTCTTATCCTGCACCTTCATTGAAGAGGGCAAAGCTAAGTGCACAATGCTCTGTTTAATTGGACCTGTCCCTCAGCTGCATTGCCACGCCATCACTCTGATGATGGCCATGGGAAGGTATTTTAGAAGCAAAGTAGACTATTCTTTTTTAAAGCTAACTTTCGTTCAGCTCTTCAGCATAATGTGAGGCAGCAAATCAGCCAGAGGTTCTACATTGAGCCTGTTGTTGCATAGCAGAGGGGAAGAAGTCCACTGTGATGGGTAAAAGCCACGGAGATTACGCAGTTTAAAACACATACGGACTAGGTCACATCCTGGAAAATATACAGCAAGAATTCCTCCTATGCTTTCCATCAGAGGATGGATGAAGGTCCGTAATTAGCTATGTTTGATCTCCATTTTCTCTTCTGTGCCCAAAGTCTGCATTCTCTCACCACTTCTTTAAAGAATTCTGTCATTTCTAAACCTGGACATGCAGCCTGTCTGTGTGCCTAAGATATCAGTATGGCACGAGGAATCCTCTCTTGGGAAATGGACATTGTTTTAAGTTACACATGCTAGATTGAGAGTTTTGTTTTTGTTATAGCCTGGAGTGAGTCAGAACCTCATTCCAGGAGAGCAGATGCCAGCTGGACACACCACCAGACAGAAACTCATGTCTTGGCCTTTTGTTTGTTTTTAAAGCCTTTCCTCTCTTCAAAGCTGAAATTCCCTATTGAAAAGTGACTGAAAATAATAAGCTCTAGGAAAGTGTCAGGGAGATACAAGAGCTAGTAAGAAATGCTACAAAATACAGTCTAATAAAATGGTTTTTTTACTTAGAAGCTAAATTAAATACACCATCTTCCCCCCTAAACACTCTGTTTAAACAAACCTTCCCAGGAGCTAGAGAGGAAAGCTATGTAGAAATATGAAGGTTGGGAAGATGTTAGTGTGTGTACATGCTTTGAAAGAGCCATTAGATCTGGATACATAATTTCTTTGTAATTTCCAAACATCAGAGCCCCACATTTCAGGCATTACTGGAGGGAAATTCCAACTGAGTAAAAGTTTTTGAAGTAATCAGTCTACACAATCTGAGGCCCTTTTGGTAAGGACTACCAAACTACGCAGCTAATTTTCATTTTCCCTCTTCCTTCTTCTCTTCTCACCGCCACATGAAACACAAGAGGAAAGCCCCTCTGGTGTGGTAGTGATTAAACTTGCGAGGACAGACCCGTAAGCTTGAGCGAGGTCACATCTCTTCTGTGATGCAAATAAGTGCCTGTACATCAAAGCTCCGTGTTCTTCTAATCCTTTAACAAAATATTGAATTTAGCTTCAGGACCAGCTGGATTTCTTCAAGTAGCAGATTTCTCTCTGTACTTTTATAGTCACACTTTTATACTAGACTGATTTTTGCTCTCAGTATATCCTCTAGCAGCAGCAACTGGTGACAAACTGGAACCCAGTCATCTCCTTTTTTTTTTCTTTTTTCAATTAACAGAGCCAAACAGGACAAGACCAAGATATTGTAAGATGGATAACATGAAGATATGAGGGAGAGGACTCTGCTCTAGACATTGACTCACTCCCTATACCCTCATCTTGTTCTCTTCTTTCTCCTTGTCTCCTAAACTTTCTTTCTTCCTCACATCGTTTGCTTTACACAGTGAATTCTTTTTTTCTTTCATCCAGACACAGGGTTGGAGAGTTACAAAATTCCAAAAGAAGGTGGGTGTGGGGGGTGTTCCCAAATGTCATCTTGAAGGCCTGACAGCAACCACAAGGACCTGGTCAAAGGGAAAGGTGTCTCACTGAAATGGTCAAGGGAGCAAAGAGAGGAGTGGCACTGGAGAAGGCCGGGAAGTGTCTGAGCCATAAAGGTTACCGCCATTTTAGGAAAAGGAGGACAGTTTTTCCATTCTTACCATGGCATCGCTTTTCCTGGTTTTGCTGTTGCAAGCAATACATCTAGAGTAGAAGAACAAGGTTTTGAGACACACTGCTGAAGTTGGCCTTCTTGGAAATGCTGCCAAATCTGCCTGCAGATGTATGTATGACTCTTGGGGTCTCTTCCAGAGCTCTCTTTCCGAGTGTGGATGTGTGGTGGCAGCTTGGAGATTGTTCCCTGCAGTCGAGTGGGACATGTGTTCAGGAAGCGCCATCCGTACGACTTCCCTGAGGGCAACGCACTGACATACATCAAGTAGGTGTTGAGTAGTTCCTGGTAGCAGCCAGGTCACCTTGATGTTGGGCATGTCTAAATAAGCCTGAGTTCTTTGTTGTCTTTCTGCCTGATGGCGGAGGAGAACAGCTTGTGGCTGAGCATCTGTTCTCAAGGGAAGGATGAGTTGCTGTTTTCTGTGAACAAAACCTGTTTCCTTCTCTGTTGTTTGTATTAGTGCACCTTGCTCTTCTTCAGTCTGCAGTGGAGCAGGGGGAGCAGTACCCAAGAGAGACCCTGGCCATTTGTAGATACTGCCCTGACATGTGCCTGTGTATCAGCAGTCCTTAGTCATCCCTCTTGTCTCTGAGCTCCTTTTGAGTCCAGAGATCATACTGAGCTGTGTGTTCTCTGAGACAAGCCCTAAGGACCACTTCCACTGCAGGACAGATGGGAAGAGAAAAAAGATGAGACAAAGCACTTCACAGTGACAGTGGTTAAGGACTGGCACAGAGTCCCAGAGAGGTGGTGAAATCTCCATCCTTGGAGATTTCAAAACGTGGCCAGACAAGACCCTGAACAACATGACGTAACCTGAAGCTAGTCTGCTTTGGGCAGGAGGTTGGACCTGATGATACCTAGAGGTGCTTTCCAAGCAGAATTATTCCATGGCGTTATTCTAATCTGAAGAAAGTGGTACTGTAAAGGAGGGTGATGGCCACAGTCAGTCCAGGTGTCTCTGCAGAGGCAGTATATTTGAGAAAATCATGGTAAACTGTGGCTGTTAAAATTTTAACTTCTGAAGTGTCCTTGCAAGGCTTTGTAGACTTAACAGATTCAACCTTTCTCCATCCATACTGCCCACTGTGACTCATGTTTGGGACTGTCTCCCACTCCCACCTAGCAGACAGGCCTTGGTCTGCCCACCCAGTGCCTGCTCGCTGGGAGGGCAGGTTCTCCAGCAGCACTCATCAAAGCGTCTCCTCATCCCTGTGCAGGAACACCAAGCGCACAGCGGAGGTGTGGATGGATGAATACAAGCAGTACTACTATGAGGCCCGGCCATCTGCCATTGGGAAGTCATTTGGAAGGTAAGCTGCCCCCAGACCTCAGTAGAAGAGTTCTGGTAAGCTCCTTGCTAGCAAGAAGTAGGTTTTGGATCTTCTCTGGGGCTAAGTGTGGGAAACAGAATTGCTCTGACTGGCTGGCTTGCCAGCTTGAGTGTCTGGCTAACAAGGTTTGCTTCTATTTCACTTTATTTTTCCCCCAGTAACCCTGCATAAATCATTTGTTAGCAGAAGGCCAAAGTGATCTGTAATGAAATTAAAAGGCCAGACATTTTAAGTGGATAGATAAGAATATTTTCTAACACAGCATGCAGCTGCTCTGGAAATATGAACCATGCGGTTACTAGAGCTTGACCCAAAGTTCCTGTGTGGACGCAGAATCCTGGGGCAAACAGCTACCTGGCACATGGGGCAGGTTCCACTTGGTGCACTCCCCTCTCTCCTGATGAGTGAATGGATGGTTTGCCTGGTTAGCAGGGCAGGAGAGAGCCAATGGTGACCAACGCAGAATTCTGGGGCAAACAGCTACCTGGCACATGGGGCAGGTTGCACTTGATGTACTCCCCTCTCTTCTGATAAGTGAATGGGTGGTTTGCCTGGTTAGCAGGGCAGGAGAGAGCCAATGGTGAGATATGTCATTTAGAAACACAATCTGGTTGTGACTCATCTCCAGCACCTGCTGAGCCCACTTCTGTGCAGAACTGTGCTCCTTTACAGCACCTTTGCTAAAACTGTCTCCAGGCCACATAGGATTTGGGCTTAAGCTTTCTTTGTCACCCAGAAATCAATGATGGATACCAAAACTTGGGATGAGAAGAGAGCTTCTCTCTGCACTAACAAACCTTGTTACTCCCAAATAAACATAAAACAATCCTAGGAGTGTATATGTTTGGGTTATCTCTGTAGGTTATATCTGCCTGTGAACAAGTGACTATTGTAAAGGTCCCTTCCAACCTAGACAATTCTATGATTCTATCAGCTTAAGGACTTGGTAAACATGGTCGTAGCTACATGCACCAGGTAATGATGCATCTCCTGCTTATTTGATGACAGGCAGGTTTGGTCTGATCCACACACACTTTTTTGTTGTACATCGTGTTTTATTATCATGATGCATGACATATTTTTGTACAAATAGCTTTGCCCACCTCATTTATCTGTCTTTGAGCTGACTGCAGCCGCTGGGCTGGGGCCAAATAGCAAGTAACCCAGCTGCTTGTGAAGGAAACTGGACTATTGCGTATTGGACATGGATATATTGCTAATGTGTTTTAGGGCCAAAGCCTGCAGTTCTTGTTCACACAGACTTCCTAGTGGCTTTACTGGCAGCATGCTGGGCTGGGGCCAAATAGCTGCTTGTGAAGGAAACTGGACTATTGCGTGTTGGACATGGATATATTGCTAATGTGTTTTAGGGCCAAAGCCTGCAGTTCTTGTTCACACAGACTTCCTAGTGGCTTTACTGGCAGCATTGGCTGAGTAAGAGCTGGAGCAAAGCTGTAGGATTTGATTTCAGGCAATTTCTTGACCTGTGGTACCAGCACTGTGAAACACACATTAAATCTAGATTTTAGAATGCAAATGCCTCTGACACCATCACTGTCACCTGGGCCTAAAATTGACCCTTCTTCCCTACAATTTTTCTGTGAATAGGATCTGAGTACATTCTCCTGAGGTATGGGCAGTACCATGGCATCTGTTGGCTGAGGATGGCAAGGAATATGGGTGCAGCAGTTAAGTCCTTCCCAACAGACAAATGTAGTGGTATAGCTTGAAGAGCAGAGTCCCTAGTGTCACTACTTGAGGGAAGTCCTCTTCTTCAGCCAAGCAGATCAGCAGTGGGAGCACTGCTGCGGCATATGGTTACCAGGATGCGGAGTCAATTTCCCCTTATATTCCTCCTCTTTGCCCATATTGCCCAAGGCCAAATGTACTTTAGGTCTGTAACCCAATCTAAGCCTCGAGTTGCTGCCATGTTTCCTCACCTCTACCACACACAGATAAACCATTTGTATATTTCTGAGCACCAATGCTTTCTAGACCTTTTCAGGAGCTGATGATTGAGCAAGTTTCATGGTATGCCTCTACAGGGGCACACAGAGGCAGAAGCACTTTCATGGTCCTGCACTAAATATATTTTCTGTAATGTATTATTTAACGCTGTAGGTCCTGGGCCCTGCCATCATTCTGAGCCAAAGGAAGTACAAGAACTGCTCTCTGAAGGTGTTTGTCTTCCTTTTCTATTTTCTGCCACTTGCTTCTCCTTTTCGCCTCAGGTCACTGCTAGTGCTCTGAACCCAGCAACAACTAGGTGGGAGAATGAGTAAGGGGGAAAAGTCATGTAGTCACCCTCAAACCTCCTGGCTGATCTTCACTGTTCCCCTCCCTCCTGTTTGCTACCTTGTCCTCAACAACCTGCCTGTCTTTCCAGTGTTGCAGACCGAGTGGAGCAGCGGCGCAAACTGAACTGTAAATCCTTCCAGTGGTATCTGGAGAACGTCTACCCCGAGCTCAAGTGAGTCAGTTCCCTGCTTGTAGAAATCTCTGAAGGATCTGGGAGGTGGGTCACAACACGAAGCTGAGCCTTAACAGCAGTGGTCAAAGGAGAGACAGAGCTGTGCCTGCGGCTTCCCCTGCGGCGGGTCAGGATGCTGTAATGCTGTGGTGTTGCTCTGCTGGGAGGTAGCCTGGGTAGAGCTGTGTTGTTGGCACTTGCTGTCAAACACAGCCTGACAACACATATTGCTAATGTGTTTTAGGGCCAAAGCCTGCAGTTCTTGTTCACACAGACTTCCTAGTGGCTTTACTGGCAGCATTGGCTGAGTAAGAGCTGGAGATCTTTAGTCTCAGTCAAGCAAAGTTAGTATCTAACATGGGTCAAGGCTAATCCATCCAGCTGTAGTCTGGCCTTGACAAACCCTTCCTGTCCGGAAGACTCTGGAAAAGGAGGAGGCAGGAGCAGGATAAGTCAGTGTGGATATGACTTTTTACTGGGACTGGCCTCTTTCAGAAGAGACATCATGCTGAAATGCTTGGGGTGCACCTAAAGCACCTAATGCCTTCTGAAACAAAATGGTACCAGCCCTCTGACCAAGTTCTCCATTGACTTTTGCCTCCTTCAGGCATTTCCAGTGGATAGCTAGCATGATATTGCTAATTTTCTGTCCAATAAAGGGGACTATGTTTCAGTAAGTGTGGCCAGATATGCCCTTCTAAATGTGTGTGCGCTTTGGATATTTCTGTGTATGAACTGCCATGCAACTGTCATTTTCCTTCAAGGGTTCCTGAAAAGGAGCTGATTCCAGGAATAATTAAACAAGGAGGAAGCTGCCTGGAATCTTGGGCACAGGATACCACAGGGAATACATTGGCTGGCATGGGAATCTGTAAAGGAACAGTCAACAATCCACCTGTCACTCAGGTAAGGCAGGCTACAGTTCGGTGCTTTGCTCCTGCTTCTGCCCTTTTTGTTACCAGTGAATGAAAAAGCATCTCTGGCCTTGGTGGGTTTGTACAGGAGTGAAAGAAGGAAGAATGAATTTTGCCCTGATAATGATTTTAATAGTAAGCAGAGAAAGAAGCTGTGCCCATCTCTTAGAGCTCTGTTGGCTCAACAGCCCCAGCAGTCAGGCACAGAGTGGGAAGGTTTTCATCACTCAAACACAACAGGTAGTGCTTGAACGCTCAGGGGTGTGACTAGTCTGTGCAACAGGCAGACAACCAGGGTTTGAGTCATGTAGCTGTTCTCACTCAGACCGTTGCTTGAGTGTGCTGTGCTTCACTGTTCAGCCTGTGAGAAATGGTCCTGGGGTGTGCTTGGCTAGTACCCTGGCACGTGGGTAAGAGAACTTCCCGGGATCAGAAATGTTCCCTGGTCTGCCAGTTCAGCTGTAGCTGCAGATGGCTTGAATTGCACTGTTTTACAGATGCGTTTCAACAGAAAGCCCAAGTAGAATTTAAATAGCCAAGACCCCAGCTGCAGTAATTTGCAGCTTTCCTAACTGCAGTGGAGCTGTGCTGGTTTATACCAGCTGAGGATCTGCACTCAGCCTCTTCTTTTGGTGACCAAAAGCAGCAGGGAAGCAGCTTGAGAAAGTTAAGGGTCACAGTAGGATATTTTATGCCAGAGAACACATATCCACATCTGTTAACTGTTGGAAACCAGTTTGCAGCCAGCGTTCAACGTGCCATTTAATCTGACTCATTGTTTCATGTCATTACCGTTTGAAATGTCTGAAACTTATTGCATTTTGTATTTCTTCCTTGGGGAAAGTGTAATAGTAATAGCTGATTGGTTTGGGTATCCATCTCGTGAGAGGAGGGGAAAATGAAGTGGTTTGTGCTTTATGTGTGCTGGTGATATATGTGGATATGCTTACATGTGTTTTGCTTCACTTGGCAATCTGTAGGTCCCAGATACCTGTTACAGAACGTGTCTGCTATGTAAAATATGCAGAGGCAGTCACATGCCATGTAAATCAGGGGTCGGGGTCCTCCCTGCTTTGTAGGCCTAAATCTGTAAAGCTGCAGAGCAGGGAGCTGCATGGGATCCAAGGTTAATCAGACAGCTCAGATGGAAGGAGGGGGGACCTGACCAAAGCAGCAGGCTTTGAAATGGTCACGATGCACTAAGCCTGAGCGTAGACTTCTGATCAGTTGAAGACTACTGCCATAGTCCACCCAGGGAGCCTGTGGAAAGAGTTGAACAAAGGATACAAGTTTTTGAAGTACTCTTTCTCCCTCATCTGATCACCATTATGATCCTAACCTTTCTTTTCTGGAACTATTCTTTTTCTTATGCCAAAGGAGTGGGTGTTCAGTGACCCTTTAATTAGACAGCAGGACAAGTGTCTTTCCATTGCCTCCTTCTCTACTGGCTCTCAAATCACACTGGAAGCCTGCAATCAGAAAGATGGCAGACAGGTAGGTAACTGTCCATGTGTTTTTAATCCCACCATTCCCACATATCAGTGTTCCTACAGCAGTGCAGCCTGCAAGGGAAAACTTAGTACTATCAAAGTGTACAAAAGTCCTGTCCATCTTCTGAATCTCCCTCTCTGGTGTGTTTCGTAAGCTCGGATGTATGAGGTTGCCCACAACCAGAGCAGGGAGCACAGATTACACTGGTATGTGGGTGTCTGCTCTGCCTGGGCCCTGGCAGCGTGGTTACCTGCAGCTCAGCAGCACCCCGACATCGCTCCTTGTTCCTTATGTTCACATTTATGCTCGGCCGGATCGGTGCATGGATGGAGCATGGCATCAGAGAAGGGTAGATAAGCAGCAAGTGCTTTTGAGGTACCCAGGAGAAGGGTGATGTGTGCTATCATTTGTTAACTTCTTTAGAAGTGAGAGAACTGTGTTCTTTGTGCTAGTTCTGGACATGTGAACAGAGCTTTAAAACTGAGCACGTGCAACTCATTTGAGAAGTACCGATGACATAAAGCACCATATGTTCCACCCAAACTGCTCCCTGGGGAAAAATACACAGCAGCAGTGTTCCCAACAAAACGCAGCTCTGTGACTCTTATGCTGTTCCAAGATGTTCATCCCTGATCTGTCAGGACATATCAGTCATTTCGCCTTACAGCACAAGGTAAGAGATGGCCTCTGCAATGGCCAGGATGCCCTCACAGAGATGTGATGTGCCTTTTTATCAGAACTGGGCAAAACACAACAGGTTACAACCCAGCACTGGCAGACAGTGGACTGTGCTTCCCTCTACACCAAGACAGAACAGGTTTTCTGTCATCTGAGGCTGTGCTGGCGCTATGTATCCTGACACATCTATTGTTTTGATGGCCCAAAGGTAGGAGACAACCCAGCTTGCTACCAGGCCTCAGCACCATCCTCTTTTGTCAGTACTTTTTAACTCTATACAAATCTCTGAATTTAGTTCTTCCTGAAAGAAAGTGCTGAAATCCAGTCTTGCCCATTTATGGAAAGCCTGTGTCAACTTTCCTCTGGAGATCTGGTTAATGCAGAAATGTCTTGAAGAGTTGTCACCGTGAATATGCTGGGAAAACTCTGAGTTTGGATTAGCCTTGCAAGAATATCCCGGGCGGGCTGTGCTTGCCTGCTCCCTTTTCTTGCTGGTAATCACTTACCCCCTTGCTGTGTAATTAGGTCATTAGCTTCCCCTTAGGTGCCTTGCAGCATTTTCCTCCCTGGCAGCAGCGAGGACTCAAGCAGCTGCCAAAATCAGCTGTCTTTCCCCGCCTCCCCTCTCATGGAAGGACAAGGGTCCCCTGAAGCGGGGTGGAGTGCAAGCTCTATTAGCCAGAAGAGAGATTAATCCACCCTAACACAAGCAGGCTCTTTCCCCTGCTGGAATAGGATTTATTGAGCCTTGATGTGTTGATTATATACAGGCTCATTATACAGACATGCACACACACTTAAGGATGTGAGCTGTTGTTTTCCATTACCTTGTGTGAACAAACTGCGCTTAAATCAAGGACTTGACCTAGCAGATGATTGAGCCAGCTGACTGTGAGCAACGATTTTATTTAAGCATTTCAAATAATTAGACTGATTTGAATCTCAGCTGCCATTGCAAACCACCTGTGGCTGAAGGGATGAGATGAGGATGATGTGCGAGAAGGGCACTTGAATTTTTAATCTAATTTGGGTTGAAATGCTCTGAAATGCTGGGGGTTTTTGGAAGTGCCAAACTTCCATTTCAGATTTCTACTTATAAAGCCAGTTTTACTTGCAATGCTCAAGTTTATTGTGTTCTCGAGGAATGTTGTTATGGTCCCTTTCTTCCACTAACACAACAGTAATTGTTGTTAATACTGACATTGGATTTTAATTAGCTCAAAGTCAGTCATCTTTGCAAACTGTCCCATTCTCTCTCCTCCGTCTCTGTTCTAGAGGGACCACCTGCATTTAACGCAATGTTTTCTGCTTAGTTTGGGAACTGACTCTTTCTCTGTTGTCTCCTAGGTGGAAAGTGAGCCTAACGGCTTTTATGGGGTCATCTGAGAGTGTATGTCTGGGCTGGCAAGGCATGTTTCTGGCAACAGAAAGCAAAGACAGAGAGGGAGTCTGGTTCTTCCTGGGTCTGCAGCTTGCAGAACCCCCTTCCTGGGATGTCACCCAAGCCTGCGGGGCTCCTGATATTTGGGAGGTTAAGTTCCAAGGAGATGTTCACTACTGTAGAAACTTTAAAGTGCAAAATGAAAGAGTAAAACTGGAGGGAACAAACTCAGCCAGTTGCCCTATGACTTGCCTATCTCCCCATGGGTACTCACAGCCCAAAGTGTGAGTAATGGAGGGAGAGCAGTGTTTTCAGAATACAGATGTATTTTCAGAATATGCATACTCCCCAGTTCAAGTGGGCTTCTCAGAAAGTCAGAGGGGCTGAGTGGGAGTAGAGAAAGGGAAGCTGAGCAAGCGATAGCCCTGAGTAGGTGGTCTGAGTGGAAGGGAGTGAGCCTGGGCAACGTGCATCACATGTACGATATCTTAAGAGGAGACAGTGACAGGATGAAAACCCAGTTTTGAACGTCTCTGGTGTCACACTCATGAGAAGGCTATGGTGGAAGACATTTGGACTCTTTAGACTTCACATCTGTCTGAGTGATGCAAAAGGCAAAATTTCTGACAAAAGATGGGGCACATCATAACTTAATTTTTTAGTGTCACCAGAGCAGATTGGTTAGATCCTTATGACAGTGCCATGAAGCTCCTAAAGTTACTTTTTGCTTTCAAACATAGTGAAGCCATGCCCATGCTACACAGCTGTTGTGCATTAAGCACGTCCACAGGGCAGATAACTTTATTTTCATTTTTGAGTGCTAACAACAGCCCATCTAACATAAACTCTAGCAGAGGCTTTACAGTATTATGAGCTATATCTAAAGCATTACTTCAAAATAACTCTAGAACTTTGCAAGTAGGAGAATATGAAACAATGGTCAAAATTTAGATCGTTTTTGGTTCTGTCAGACTACTCTCCCTTGGGTTGAAAGGAACCGGGAACAAAATCTATTTGGCACCATGATCCCGTTGATCATTCAACAGCAACAGCTGGCACTGCTAGCAGAAGACCAGCCAAGAGCTATTCTGCATAATCAGAACTAGATTTCAAACCAGATGGATGTTATCCATAATGTTATTTGGAGAATAGCATTTTTTAGTTGAATGCACAATAAATTATTGCCTTTTGCTTTGGTTTTGGCTCTGACTGGCAGTAGGAGTGGCGTTTTAATTTGTATTATAGTGAGGACAAATAGAAGGCAAAGTGAGAGTCAGACACTAAAACAAGAGAATGAAAATGAGAAACACTGGCACAGTATTTCCCAACAGAACAAGCAGCATGCTGAGAAATCCTATTAAAAAGCCATATTTCATTAAAATGTGCTGAAGGAATGTGACCCCAGCCTGAAAATGAGGACACTAAGTTTTCTTGTGAGACAAACAGTATTTGAAGTCCTATGTGCCTTTGGACATGATTGGGATTTTTTTCCCCACCGTGCTTCGCAGTGTATCATATTATTTGAGGTGCAGACAAACGCAAATATAGACTATTGGATAAAATAAGGAGTGAAAACCTGTCTGTTCTGGAAGCACCTGACTTGATTATCCTGAAAAATTACACTAGTGTAAACACTTCCACCTCTTGTATATATTATGTAGATGAGAACTGGTTATTTCTGACTTTTCTTTTAGTGATCGCACATGGGGTGCTTCTACCCAGTCACCTCAAAGTGCGTTACAATGACAGATAATAAAGATGGTGAGAGGCTTTACAAAAGAGCGGGGAAATTTTTGATTGACATTGGGGAAGAGGATCAAGACACAATATTTCAAAGAAAATATGGATTCTTATTTTTCCATCTCCACTCCAAACCTGCTGTGACCAGTAAACTGTATTATCTCCATCTGCACAAGAAAGGGAGACCAAGGAAGATTTTCAAGCCAAAATTTTTCAGATTGTGCAATGCTTATGTCTTCCAAAAGCTTTCCTTCCAAGTACAGAACAGTCATAATGTCTGGATGTAGGAGAGGACTCTCTCTAGTGTTTGGCTGTGTATGCAGTAGGTATCTGCTCTGTTTGTTTGTTTTTCCTAAAGATCATCACTGTTGTTTAAAAGTTAGCTGTCCAGGCTCCACTTGTGGTCTGTGGAGAAAGCTGGGCCCTTTCAGAAGGTGCTTGTACCTTGTACCCCTCCATAAGTATGTCACATAGGATTGCAAAGAAGAGGCAGCTGAGAAGGGTGCAGAGCTATGAAGAGCTTTCAGTGTAGTGCTGATAAAAACCTTGACTTTGAGAGATGTAAGGACATGGAAGAGAGAGATGTGATCTAGTCAAGCAGCAAGAAGCATGATTTTTGCATTCTGTGGATGGATTGCTTTCCATGTTGGGAGGGCTTTCAATGCTTTGCTTTCTGTGGATTGGAAAGAAGCCATAGAAGGGTTTCAGATCTTGACAGGTATCCGAATGCCTAGAGATGCAGGACAAGAAATGGCAGGGAAATTGTTGATATGATATGCTTTTGAAAATGCCACTAGTTGCTTATTTTTACATTGTTTGCCTTATAGATGCTTCTGAATATCTAGCCCTATAACTCAGCTAAACGCAAACTCCAGGTATCATTAACACAGGAAACCAGTGCTTTGGCAATGCTGCCCATACACAGATTTGCAGTCTCCCCCTTTGTTGGGGCTTACTCAAGGTTTATGCTCAACCTTTCTCCTCCAGCTTGGAGGCACAGTTCACAGTTCTGTGGTGAAATGGAAGTAACGGCATGTTTCTTCTCTGTCTTCTCACAGAAGTGGAAGATGAAAGGCAGTTTCATTCAGCACTTTGTCAGCGGTCTCTGCCTGGAAAACCAGAGTGGGAGAGTGGTGACCAACCCTTGCCAAGCAGATGCACCTGGCCAACAGTGGGAGCTGCTACAAGCAACATGATGGTAGCAAAGAGATCTCCTTGTCTCTTTGTGCATGAGACTTTGGGAACAGAAGGGGATTGGGAAGGGAGGAATGGTTTTGTATGTCTGACCCTAAATGTGTTCATTGTGCCCATCTGCAAGCCACCATTTCAGCTGAGCACTTGGTGTTTTTGAGCTTTTCAGAAAAGAAGCTGGGGGTGAGAGAGGGATGAGGAGAATTGTTGAAATTTTCCCATCTGTTCTAAGTTCTCCTTTGTAGCTGATGTCTGTGCACAGCTGCACCCAGAAAGGGGGGAGGACCCAGCCCAATACGCGGAGTGACCAGAACTGCCTTGCAGCTCTCCCCATCCATTCCTTGCTCCGCATCCAGATTCCATGACCTCCAGTCCAACAGCTTAAACAGTGCTTATACAAACATTGGTAGCTCTTTGGCTTCCCTGACTTTTCAGTCTAACATCATGCATCATTTATGCATGCATGTCTGTCAGTGAGAACTGGCCAGAAGAAGAGTCATCATGAGGAGTGGAGGGGCTGGGAAGGAACTAGCAGACCCAGGGGCATGTTTTTAACCTCTTTGTGGTGGGCCTGTTCCTTCTTCTGCCCGCAGTAGCTGCTCTACAGCCAAACATGCTGAGGTTGGGAAACGAGGCACAATGCTGACGAGAGCTGGAAACGGGACAATCTGTTTCACCAGCATAACCAGGGATTGTCTTGGGAACTATTCCCTCTTAGAATCATAGAATCATAGAATGGTTAGAGTTGGAAGGGACATTAAAGGTCATCAGGTTCCAACCCCCCTGCCATGGGCAGGGACACCTCCCACTAGACCAGGTTGCTCAAAGCCCCATCCAGCCTGGCCTTGAACACCTCCAGGGATGGGGCAGCCACAACTTCCCTGGGCAACCTGTTCCAGTGCTTCACCACCCTCACAGGAAAGAAATGAACTCTTGAATTCTTGCTTCCATTTTTTTACGGGTGGAAGGCCAGCCCTGCCTCCATGAGTGATCCAAGCCCGCAGGCAGCACCTGGGTTCAGGGTACCACGCTCCTGCGGAGCTGGTCAAGGACACTTTGGGATGGCAGAGAAGCTGGTCCTGTTCTCTGGCTGCTCTTCCTGGTGCTACCCAATGCTGCTCACTGCTCCCCACACCGAAGGGGATGCGCTGCACTTGGGTCAGGCCTGTGCCAGGAGCCCACCCAGTCCCCTGCTGTGAGAAGCAGAAGGGGACAACCCCTAGCTCATCGCAGGCTTCCAGCTGCTGGCTGAGCAGGAGCACAGCCCTCTCTCTGGCTCTCCAGCTCCACATGGCCCTTATGAACACAGCCCACCATGACAGGCCACCCAGTCCCTCTGTCTAGGTGTTTTCCCCCCTCTCTCAGAAAGAGGAGGTGAAAAGGTGTGGGGCTGCTCCATTTGTGACGCCCAGCTCTCGTCCCAGTTGGGCACCTTGGAGAGGTTGGTTGGTGAAGCTGAAACTGCCCCCTGCACAAATGCTTCCCTTCTCCAAGAAAATCCCCACAACATTACCTTCTCCTGCTAGATCTGTTAAATTTTCCTCTTGGAGCTAGGTTTTGTAAACCAGCCCTCCTCTCCAGGGGCCTGGCAGGGGAACCAGATGGTGGGGACACTTCAGTAGGCAATTGCTTGCTTGGATCCTTTCTGATCTGGTGTAAAAGAAACATGATGTTCATTTGGATTCTGAACAGCTGGCTGCTTTTGATCATGCTTTTGTATCCCTTTTTAATACTTTCTCCTACCTTGGTATTAGCCCAAACCATTGACAAAAGAACAGATAACTGTTCTTCATGTGTTGCATGTGCTCAAAAGTGCTTGTGTGATGACTGGACGATTTGTTTTATGTTCTTGGATCTTTTATTTAAAAAAATAAACCAGCCAGGCGGCAGGAGCTCTTTTCCTGTTTTCCCCTTCCCTTTGACTTCAGCTCACCGTCCCATCACTGATAAACTAGATGAACGACCTGCCTGCACTGTGAAAACTCAAGAGGCAGTTCCCTTTGGTGCCAAGCTTACAGCATGGTGCAGCCATGCTTCTGTGTGGGAATGGGGGGCACTGACTCTGCAGAGATTTCTCTTTCCCGTTGTAGAGATGCTTTGGGCCTGAACCACCGAGGCCAGGAAAGAGCAGAGAAGGAAATAATATAGCCTAGGAACAGAGAGAGGGCAGGACAGGCAGACCTGTCAGGGGGGAGAGATGCCATCCTACTAGCAATTGGTTTTTTTAAACAAGAATATGTAGGAGATGCTACTTCCAGAACATCACTGTCAGGCAGTAGGGGACGGGAACGGTCAAGTTCTCACATACCTGGCTTGAAAAAAGTTGATGCAAAGACAGACGAAAGGCCATTGAGCAGGTACTGTACGTAAGCCCTGTATACAATAAGGTGCTAAAGGATTACATCTTTTCATCAAAATGCATCCTAAGTGGACCATCTGAGCTTCCCCCATTTCACTCTCCAGCAGCTTGAGGGTTGCAGCTAACAGCATGTTCACTCCTCCAGCAGGTACTGCTTCCTTCCTTCTTGCTCCCACTGTGTGTGTGCAGCTTTCTTGCAGTTCCTTCTTCATAACCGTACTGGGACTAGGACCCAGCTCCTCTACAGACAATTCTCCTGACTGCTGCAGACCACAGGAGCCCTGCTTACAGCCTCCAAGCTTTGGGCCAGCCCTGGTTCAAAGGGCTCTTGTCAGCTCGCTGGCTGCTGCCCTTGACTTTGTGCTTGGCTCCAATGCTGGAGGTCACTGACTGCTCCTGGAGCAGAGGTACCTGGACTAGCTGTGTTGATTTGTGCCTCTTTTCCTGCTGCTCACCACCTGGCAGAGTGTGAACTGGTGTCCATGTGGGGCTGGGAGCTGAGGCAGCTTGAAGCTTGGACACTCTTCTTCAGGTGCCCCAGCCTGGGGGAGAAAAGGGAAAAGGTGGGCATATGCTAGATGTCAATAATTTATCCCTGGAGTTAGGGACTACCAGAGCCCTAAAGCTACGTGGTTTTGGCTCTGTTCTCCTGAGGTCACCCCTCCACTTGTCACACTTGACTGTCAGCTAAAGCACCCTCCTGTTGGTCCAATGCAGATCTCCTCCGACATCATCTGCTGGAAGCCATGGGTTTCCAATGGCTTTTAGCAATCGCTGAAAAGGGGGGGTGCATTACAAAAGGCTGCTTTCAAGTGTAGGCAAACTAAACTTCTCCTCAGAATAAACAAAGTCTTGCCCAAACTCATCAGTAGTATACTTTCCATTTTCCTTGCACTGAAGGGAAGGAGGAATTATGTTCTCTGTGCTTTTTTCCCCCAGGGTCCATGCAGTGCCATGTTTTGGAACAGGTCTCCAGTGAGGTTTTTGAAAGCAAACTGAGCCCTCAAATTTGGCCTGGTGATTTCTTCCTTTAACAGTCAGAACAAGCAGCTGCTCGCCCTTGTTTTCCTGTTTACTTTAAGCAGCCCCCCAGACTGTCAATGCAGAACATTTGCATTGGTAATACCTTTTAAGAAAGCTGTTATTGTATCAGATCATCCAATGTAATTTTGTGTGCTGTGAACCAATTGGGGGTTTATTTAAGAGGAGCTGAAACTACTGTTGTACAGAAATCAATTTCAAAACGTTTATTTTCCCCACCCACTTGCAAGTTGCACTTTGCCAGATGTAATTTATGTGGAGCCCAGATTTGTTTTCCCTTTTCTTGAAGAAAGCATGTGCCAGAATCTGTTTAATGCCTGGAATAAAAACCACTTTGAAACAAGTGTTTCAGCCTGTTCTTATTCCCTCTCACTTCCCATCAGAAAAGAGCCTCCATCCTTTCTTGCCTGGTCCCTGCCTCTGTCTCTCCCTGGGTTTGTCCACCCAGACGTACATGGGTTCCTGGGTTGCTTCTAGAAAGATACTGCAGGAGCTGACAGAGGCATTTCTAAGGTACAATGGCTTATCAGTTGACCACGGCTGAAGAAGCCCTCCCCAGCTGGCCAAGCAGCAATGTTTCCTTTCTGGCAAAAGTTAAGAGCAGTTAATGGACTGCCTTTTACAGGCTGAAAGAAGTAGCTGGGTGTGGGGGGAACTAATTCTTCCTGTAACTCCCTTCTTGATCTTCTCCTCAGGCTATGAGCCTGCCTATTCCTTTCTAAGCCTCCCAAAGGTCTTTCTTCTGCCTCTGGCTTGAGGGCACGGAAGCGTCACCACCCACAGATGCCTGAGCCTCAAGTACTGCGACTCCCCCAGAAAACTGGTAAGCCTTCCTAATCTCACTTTATTAGAAAAAAAAAAAAAGGAAAAAAACCCCAGCCAGCAATGTCAATTTGGAGGCTTTGAGTTTAAAATCAGGGCTTAACCGCCTGCTGCTTCACCCACCCAGGCTTTTTCAAACTTCTATCAGAAAAGCAGCTGTGCCAGAGCCTCCCTCTAGGGAAGGAGGGTGAAGGTGTGCTGGAAGTTAGCTGGTGTTGGGGAAACCAGTGCTTCCCTGTGCTGCCTGGTGCCATATCTGGTGTTTCAGCGCTGTGGGAACTCAATAAAAAGGAAAAGAGTTGGGGCTCTCTCTCTTGGTGCAGCTTTTGTAGCAGGACATCAGTTGGGCTGTGTCCCTGCGGTCCTGCCATGCACCCCCTGAGTGCTGACCGCCAAAGTGTCCTAGAAACCAGGAGATTCTCAGGCTGTAATGATGGCTGGGAAGACTTTAATTAGTCCTGTCGAGGAAAATGAAATATTGATCTTCCACAGGGCCAAATGGGAGGGGGGAAGAGAAATGAGTGAGGGACGGGTTCCCCTCTGAGGAGGACAGGGTCGGACGTGCAGTGATCTGGCACACAAATGAGGTAGAGAAGAGTTTGGAGTAGAAACAGTTGCATCAAAGGGGACTAGAACCAAGTATGGGGAAAATTATAGGGGAGTAAATTCTGTGCAGGAGGTTAAAAACATAGCAGCACCACATCCACAGTTTGATGCAGTTGGGTCAAATTTGGTAAATGCTTTGTGTCAAAAGGCAAATCAAGTGTTGTTTGGATTGTTTGTTTGTTTGTTTGTTTGTTTGTTTTTAATACTCAAATAGTTCATTTTAGCACTCACAAAGCAGATTATTTTCTTAGGAACGGAGATGTTCTCCAGGCTACATTCAGTAAGAAAGTCAGGTGCTAGGAGATCTCCATTTTCTGCAGTCTGTTAAAAGGGATGTGCTTTATACAAAGGTCTTATATGAGTGTCTCTTTGTTCTTAAAACCCTCTGCTGTTGAGCTACAGGCGGTGCTGAGGTGGATACCTCTGTCCCTCTAATTGGACTTTTTCAGCACTTTAGAAATAAATACTAATGGCAGAAGAATCTGGAAACCTGACTGCTGCTTTTCCTTCAGCAGAGCATCCTAATACACTTCTTGCATCCTTTCTCTTTCATCTTGCACTGCTTGGCCAAAGCAGCTGAAGAGCTCGTGTATCCCTCCTTCTTAGGGGGCCGAAGATTCATACCTTCCTGGTGACTTGTGAGCGGTTTAAACAGAAGCAAAGAAGCCCCAGACAACTGCAAGCGTTGGAATTAAATGTTTAGATCTACCTGCAACAAAACTTGTTTTCAGTGTGTTTGTTCTGCTGCTATAGTAGCAAAAAAAATCAGCACTGCACTGCCCTGTGAAAACAAATGTGGTGTTTGCAGCGTGCTGGGCTTCTGGCTCCGCTTCTCCAGCAGAGAACTCTGTGTGTGGACAGGAGATATTGCCCCTCTGCCACTCTCCCAGCTTTGGGGCAAGGTGGTGGGGCTGCCATCCACGTTTCTAGGGTTTCGTTTCCATAAGGGGCTGTGCAAAAGTGTTTCTGTGCCGTGGCGTGTTGCAAAGGTGCCGCTGGGCAGTGGGAGGCTGGGTACGGGAGGGAGCTGAGGGAACTGATCTGCTTCTGTTTGAGGAACACTGCTTAGATCTCACCTGTGACTGACTGGTGAGTCCAACCAGGCCAGAGCAAGACAGTACTTCTGTGCTGGAAGTGACACCGGGTAAGCGTTCAGAGCTGCCTGTCTTTGAGTCAGGGACATCGCATCCAAAAGGAAATAGCAGCTTCTGCTTGACAAATCTGAGTCCTTAAACCCATTCCCTCTTCAGCTGTGCTGCACGGTGCAAAAAGAAGAATGGGAGAAAAGATAACAAAACAATCCACTTGGGACAAAATTGTGTTTTGATGTGATTTTGGTGGAAACCAGCTTCTCTGGTTTTGATTTCCATGGAAACTAGTACAGCAGTGCTGTGACCACTGCCTGCAGCGGGGCTGAGCTCGGCGGTACCCAGAGCAGCGGTGCAGTGTGCTGGGTGATGCATTGGCTGGTGCCAAGGGGGATGCTCAAATTCAGGAGAATGAGCTGAAAAAAAATGGGGTCACTGACCCAAAAAGCCACCCATGGGCCCCTCTGCACCTCCTCATGTGTCTCAACTTCCTTTTCCCAAGGGCTCTTCTCCCTGAATTTTGTGGTCAGGGCCAAGACCTGCTTTGCTTTCTCCCCATCTTGGTATCAACTGATGTGTGGATCTCAGGATCACCTTCTCTGTAGCTGCCTGAGCTCCCTGTAAGTGTGGTGACTGCTGGCTCCTTGGGTGGTCGTGGGCTCTCACAGGCTTCACCCCAGCTCTAGAGATCCCTCTGTGCCCTGGAATGTCATGTCACATCCCCGTGGGGCTGCCATGAGGTCTCCTGATTGTTATTTAATTTTAACCTATAGACATGCTGCTGTCTGCCATTGGCTACTGGTCCTGCAGTATGGCTATATTTTGGAAGTGACCTCAAAGACTCCAAAGAAGCAGGGCAGCTGCATACAAAGTAAACAACTTACTTGAAGAGGTGACATCTTTTTACGTTTTGCCAGAGTTTGGGTGAATTTCTTTACCCACCAAAACACCTTGTTCCCCAGTCGTCCCAATAGGACAAGAGGACAGTGGGTCAGGTTTTGAGGACAATGTAGACCCTTCTGTTTCAGGGGACAACTTGGCCTGTGCCGGGCAGCTGGTAGGACTGGCTCCCACTGGAAGGATATTATGCAGCCAGCAGTGGGGCTGTGATGGTAAGAGGGTATCTGTATCTCAGTCTGCAGTAGAAAGTGGGGCCCCACCATGAACCCCACCATGAGGCTGAAGTCCCAGTGCAGATGTTGGACTCAGTTGCACCCTCATCTGCTTCTCTCCTTGGCTATCTCTGAAACATGTCCCCTGAGTCTTGTTTCTCAGGATCTCAGTGATGATCAGACAGTCCACGGCTGGCCAGGCCTGAACTAGAAGGTCTTTTCTGCCCCTCATCCCAGTGATTCCTTCCCTTTTAAAATAAACATAAGAGCTACCAGTGCTACAGCTGGAAATTCAGTGGAGAACACATAATGGGGACAGTTAATTTTAAATTTTGCCTCATCTTACCAAGGGACAGAGCAAAAAGGATGTGTTCTGCTGTCAGCTATGATCATCAGTGACTGCAGAGCAGTCATGTCGGCTCCCAGTACTCCTTTCCCTTCTCCAAACTGGGAACGGTTCCATCTGGCTGCCACATGAAGTGAGCTTTGATTCAGCCACTTTAGAAAAGCACTTTCTCTGTGGCAAAGAGGAACCATTTTTGTTACGGGTGTTTCCTAATCCATCTTCTCCTGCAAGGATTATTCATTAGTGCATACACTTGTCAGATTCGGGAAACAGACTCAGTCTAAATCATTGTCCCTGCTTGGGTTACATTTCTGATTGTGCATTTTGTTACTGTTGGCTTTAAGAAACGTGAGTGGGTGGGAGAATGCTGCCAGTCAGCAGCCTCTGGCTTGGTGGCAGAAGCAGCAGTAGAGAGCTGGCCCAAGGTGGCCCTTCCCTTTTTCCCTTCTTCCAGCTTCATTTTGATTTTATTAAAAAAATAAATAGTGTCACTGCACGACACCAGCCCGGCATCAGCCTAAGCTGGGTCCCCAAATCAGAGATGAGCTTAGCACTGAGTTTGTGAGGGGCAGGGTGGTAGAAAAGCTGAGGGCTAAGGGGAAGCTCGGTGGTTATCCTGCTTGTTTTTCCTTCAGCAGCAGCAGAACAGTAATATAACATTTATATCTTGAAATGGCTACAAGGAAGGAGAGAAATACAGGTCATGCTGGCAGCGGGTCTGCCTCCAGTACTGGCAGTGCTCAGGGGATGCTTGCTCTGTACAGATCCTCTGAAACACCCTGCCCACCTCAGGCCGTTCGTCTGCAGGGCTGCTCAGTGCACTCATACTTCTCCCCGTTAAAATCAGCCTAATGACAGCTGCTGTGTAGATGAAGGCTTGACTTTGTGGGCTTTGTAATATCAGCCGGCCTGCGGCTGCTGCTGAGCACGCCGCAGGGCAGGAAGCGCGTAAGCGGTGTTTCAGCAACATGGAGGTACCTCCTTGAGGCAGAAGTTGTTTTTCTAGGTCATTTCTCAGATTTTTGAGAAAAAGTAGCGAATCGTAGCAGGGACTTGATTCCAAATTGCAGGATTTGCTCAGCCTGGTGTATTAGGCTTGCAGGCTGCTTTGTCCCTTTGGCCGGCCCTGAATAGTTTGAAGCTGTCCCCTAGGCCAGGCTCACTGGCACAGGCTGGCACAGGGCAGCCTGGCTGGGGGCTGAGACACTCAGCTGCCACCGGAGGGTTCAGTCCCTGGCTCAGCACTTGCTCTTACCTCCTGCCATATCTGGGATTTTCAGGGCAGCCTCCGCCTCCCAGAGTTTTGTTTAGTCTAAATCTCTCGGCCTCTGAAAGCTGGTGATGCTGCAGCCGTAAGGATCTGGGGATGA